CACCAAACATTTCGCGTCTTCCGCTTCCCGGCCAGCTTGAGCGCGTGTGCAGACTGCTCCCGCCGCGCTTCGAAATAGAATGTCTGGGGCGACGACAGCGGCAACGGCGTCGACGATGCGTGCCGGGCCTTCCTGGGTTTCGCCCGCTCCGCTCCGCCCGGTCTTGTCCGGCCTGCCGTCTCGGTTTGGCCGGTCTCGGTCTTTTGGGTTGGCGCGTTTCTGTTCGGCTGGTTCGGGTCGCGGACTGGTTCGGTTCGCCCACCTCGGCTCGTCCTGGTGCACGGACTTCGGGTCGGTTCGTGGCCATCGTGTGACGTCGTGTCGGGTAAACGGGGGGCTCAAATGCGCTGGAAATCGGAGTGACCGACGCCTTTTGACGAGCGCGCCATGGACGTTGACGGTCCAATTTCAGATTGGGTTTCGTCATTTCCATGATGGCCTCGCTAGGCCAACCCAGGCCCCCCAAACCCGAGTTCTGCGTGTCCCCGATCGTGGTCGTCGACGTGAAATGTCGGGAAGACAACAATTTTTGATTTCCCGTGCGCTTCCCTGGAAAAGTAATGCAACGCTCGCGCGGGTCCGTCCCCCCGCGCCACTGGGCGCAATGTTCGCGCGGGGCGTCGCGCGATAAGTTTTTTTCGCCGTCGGCCCCGGCCGCCCCAACATTTAGACCAGTGGTCTTGGGAAAGACGGGGGGACAAGACACGGACAACAATTGTTGCATTGCTTTTCCAGGAAAACGTAGGTCATGGGACTGATTTTGGCCTGTCGTGGGCATCCTTTGGGGGCTTCGTGGCCACCGCGGCCTGTGTTGGAACGGCCTGGAGGCGTCTTCGAACATGTCAGTTGGAAACCATCTCGAACGATCTTGCGCGATCTCGAACGATCTTGGAGCCACCTCGGGCGCTCCTCGGCGTTCTTGGAGCCATCTTGGGCCATCCTGGGCGTTCTGACCGCTTGCCGCCACGCCCTGTCCAGACCCGGGGGCTCGTAGGGGGCAGAGCGTAGAGGGAGGGGTAAAATCCCTCCCCGAAGGGGAAGGCTGGGCTTGGCAAGGGCGCCCTCGAGGGCGCGAAGTTAATCGCGCCTCGCGCTTCGCGGTTCGGCTCCGATTCCTCATCCTCCTCCTTTTCTCCCCTGGGAGGCGGCGCGAGAGCGCGAAGTTATTCGCACTTCGCGCTTCGCGCAGCGCGAAGCGCGAAGTTGGGAGCCCTTGGATTGGAAGTGGAAGCGCCGCAAACGTCCTGCGCCCTAAAGGGCTGGTGGGATTTATCTTGCACACGTCACCCCATAAGGCCGACAGACAGACGGGCATAATGAGAGAGAAGAAGTGTGAGAGAGAGAGAGAGACATAGAGGGAACGACACACTGTCCTTGTTTCCGTTTTCACGCAGTCGTTCTTTTTCTTGTTCCCATTATCTTGTTCTTCCTGTGTCTGTTCTGATGATGCTGATGCTTCCGCTGATTATGATGCTGATGATGATGATGATGATGATGATGATGATGATGATGATGATGATGATGATGATGATGATGATGATCATGCTGATGATGCAGATGCTGATGATGCTGATGCTGATGGTGATGATGATGCTGCTGCTGATGATGATGATGATGATGATGATGACGCTGACGCTGACGACTAAGACCACGACCATCATCATGATGACGATGACGGCGGCAACGATGACGATGATGATGGTGATGCTGCTGTTGTTGATGATGAAGAAGGTGACGAGGGTGCTGATTCTGCTGCTGATGATGAGGAGGAGGATGAGGAGGAGGATGAGACTGAGGATGAGGCTGATGTGAGGTGTTCGAATTGAGTTTGGCATCGAGAACCGAGGATGGATATCTCTCCATCATCTAGGATCGAGGATCGAACGGCGGCCTCGAGGCTTGAGGCCGTCGACGTTGTCGCCGCCACGGTCCGCGTCGCCGGCGGCAGCGCCGCCCAGCAAAGGCTGCGCGCAAGAGCGATCCTTCGCTGGGGAGTGACCTTTGTCGCGGGCCCGCATGAGCCTCTGTCGCGGGCCCGCAGGGCCTCCCGCCTCGCCAGCTTGACACACACCCCGACCCCTATGTCTGGCACCACCTGCCTCGATGCGGACATTTAGGCTTCCCTCGGTTTCTGGGGGCACATCCCTAAGACTGTCATCGCTTTTGGCTTGCCCATCTTGGGGATTGGGATCTCGGTTCGAGTCTGGTTACCGCCAGCTTCAGGCTGCCCGCATGTGGTTGACCCCCCCAGCGGCCTTCAGAAGACGCGCACCAGAGGTCCCTTCTTGTCTGGGGTCACTCTTGGGTACTGTCTGGCTAGCACCGCCGCCGCCGCCGCCGCCCGCCGCCGCCGCCGCCGCCGCGCCGCCGCCGCCGCCGCCGCCGCCGCTGTCCGCCGCCGCCGCCGCCGCCACCGCGCCGCCCGCCGCCGCCGCCGCCGCCGCCGCCCCCACTGCCAAATCGCCGCCGCCGCAGCCGGGGAAGAGGTTCGAGGCGCCAGGTTCCTGAAGGCCCTCTGCCTTTTTCGTCCGGCCTGCGGGGACCGTTTCCGGACCCCGGGGCTGGCAAAACCGGCTCCGGGGAGGGGGAGGAGGGGGAGGAGGAGAAGGAGGGGGAGGAGGAGGAGGAGATTCTCCTCCTCCTCCTCCTGCTCCTCCTCCTCCTCCTCCTCCTGGAGTCATTTGGTGCAGTTCTGAACTGCACCAAATGACTCCAGGAGGGGTTCAAGGAGACCGATTCTGAGCAGACCTGCCCGCACCCCTCCCCCCTACGTAAAGCAGATTTTCTCGCCGCCCAGCCAGCTTCTGATTGCCGACCGATTGCCCCTGAACTACCCAGACCCCCTCGCGTTGTGAAAAAATCACGACGGGAGGTTTTCCGCTGTTTGCGGTCTCTGAGGGCCGTTACCGGATTATCAAAAAACGCTTCAGGATGAAAATTCGGTCCAGGGGAATGATCATGACAAAGATGATGACATTGGGGGTTTGTTTGGGTAGGTTGCGCGCTTGATGGCCCCGCCCCAGCAGCGACTTGATCATCAATCAGATTCAGCGGCCCAGCACCGGTCGCACGAGCCTCGAATGCGGCCCTGAAGGGCAGGAGAGGGGCTCCAGGTTGGACTTGTATTGCTCAGGGCATCCTGCCCCTGAGGGCCCCATGCCAGCGACGTCCGACCGTCCCCCACTCCCACGGGGATGGCATCACGGTCTCTCAGCCCCGCCAGCCCAGCCTCCAAGCTGGGGATATGCCCCTCGAGACCCGATTCCTACGGCACTAGTTGCCAACCGCAATTCGGGAAAAAAAAATCGTTGACGGGATTTGGTTTCGGCCGTCTGTAAATCAAACGCTTACGAAAAAACGTAGTCTGGCGGCTCCCCCTCTTGACGGTCCCTCTCTTGCGACCCTCTTGACGGGCCCTCCGTCGTGGATTTGAGGCCCCTGATAGACCTGACCCCCCAGACGTACCCAACCGATGGGGAGCAGCGCACATCCCCAGCCCAGCGGGGGGCAGGTCGGCCCGTGAGGCCGAGGCCACGCCAGCGACGTCCGACCCTGCCGGCCGGGTGTGGCCGCAGCTGCTCCGCCGGCCGCTCCGCCGGCCGCGTCAGGGCCCTGGCGCCGCAGCGGCAGCGCGCCAGCGGGCCGCGCCAAGGGCCGCCGGCGGCGGCCCCAGAGAGGCGGCGTGTTGTCTTGGGCGGCGGTTTTGTTGTGTTTGCTGATGCTGCGGCCTCTTCCTCCCCTCCGTGTTTCTCCTTCCTGCCATCATTATGATTCGTCTTCTTCGACGTCCTCTTCTTCTTCTTCTTCTTCTTCTTCCTCTTCTTTCTCTTCTTCTTCTCCTTCTTCTTCTTCCTCTTCTTTTTCTCTCAGCGGACGGCCGTTTGAGACACCGGTAGTTGGCTTTTGGGGGGCCCATCGTCGCCACGGCTGGACTCAGCTGGGAAAACTGCTGCGTTCGGACCCCAGGAGGGGTCTGGGGTCCGATTTCGAGCGGATTCTGAGTTTCCTCCACCGTCTCAACTCGTCCTTCTCCGATTCTCTCACATGGACAAACAAGTTCTGGAGAAGAAGCGTCCCAGAGTTTTGTCGATTTGTTTTTATCTTTTTCTATCCCTCTCTCTCTCTCTCCCTCTGTTCTCAACGTGGGTGAAAGGCGTTCTTGGATTAAAAAGGGTCCCGCCATCTCTTCTGGACGTTCTCGCGCCCGCGGGGCTCTCTCTCTCTCCCGTCCCTGGGACCGCCAAGGAACGGCTCACGGCGAGAAGCTGGTCCAGGGGAGCGCCCCAGCGTTCGGGAGCGGAAGTCGAAAGATTTGGCGAAAGTTTCCCGCCGATTTTGGTAGCAGGCTGGGTTCCAGGGTTCCCCGTTCCAGGTTCCCGGCTTCCCAGTTAATGGTTCCGGGCCGATTTCGGTGGGTTCTGGATTCCCGCGTTCCTGGGTTCCCATTCGATCTCCTCAGCGAAAACCATCCACTGATTGGGTTTTTTTCTCTGGTGTGATTATATCCAAATGCCCAGGGGGGTGGGGGCGAGCGAGGTTCCTGGTCGTGGGTGTGGTCTACCAAATTCCCTCCCTGGAGCGCGGTTTTGATGTGCTGAAAGTGGCCCCGGGCGGTGGGATCTGACTGGGGCGGGGAGGGTGTGGTATACAAACAAAGCTTGAGGATTTGGCCGTTCAGGAAAATTGGAAGGGGACACCTGGGAAAAGAGCGACACCCTGGGGGGGGCCCGTGGGGGAACCCTGGGAAAGCTTGGGGTACACCCCAAGCGGGAATCCCTGGGATACACTCCAAGAGGGGGCTATTCGGACGCACCCTCATCGAGGATGGACGCCCCGCCCCCCCCCGTCGTACATCCCAGGGTTGGGGCCCCGCATGATGTCTGTAGGGGGCCACATCCCCTGCCCCCCACGATTTCTGAGGGAAAGGTGGGGTTCACTTCGTTCGGGAGCTCCCGAACGTGGGGGGCCCCCTCAGAAATCGTGGGGGGTAGGGTTCGCCTGTGGCCCCGCATGTCTGGCCCCCTCGGAGACCTCCCAACGCCCGGGAGGGGGGTCGACGTCTCTCTCCCCTGCTACTCGCGGGGCGAGCCTGGGCGTTCCTGGAGGTTCCCGTCGCCGCGGCCGGGCGCAGCCCCCCGCGCGCGGCCACGGCTCCGAGGCGGGGGCTGTCTGTCCGCCACCGCCGCCCAGGAGGATCGGTCTCGGGGGGCCTCGGCAGGCGGCGGGTGCGGGCAGATTCGGGCTCTGCGGGGGGGCACGTCTATCTGACTCGTGGAGGGCGATCGAGGGAGGGGATGCATGTTGCCAGGCCGTTCCCAGATGTCAGAACATGTGCAAACAATGCTTTCCAACACGTAAAGCATGCAGGGCACATGTCTAACACACACACACACCCACACACACACCCACACACCCACACACCCACGCACCCACGCACCCAAGCACCCACGCACCCACGCACCGACGCAGCCACGCACCCACGCACCCACGCACGCACGCACGCACGCACGCACGCCCGCACGCCCGCACGCCCGCACGCCCGCACGCCCGCACGCCCGCACGCCCGCACGCCCGCACACGCACACACGCACACACGCACACACGCACACACGCGCACACGCGCACACGCGCACACGCGCACACGCGCACACGCGCACACGCGCACACGCGCACACACGCACACGCACACGCACACGCACACGCACACGCACACGCACACGCACACGCACACGCACACGCACACACACACACACACGCACACACACACACACACACACACACACACTCCAGACATGTTGTCAACTCAATCATGGGGCTGTTAGAGTGTCCATCGTCATGGCACCCACAGCACATATCCATATCCACCGCTTGCCGAGGTTCCCCCGTCGCATGCATGGACCTGCGCTTACCAACCTGGAGCATATCCCTGACCCTATGATTGGCATCAGGCGATCTCGAGGCCGATCTTAGGGATTCCCACAGTTTATGGGGGCGCATCCCTGAGATTGTCTTCGCTTTTTGGCTTGTCAATCTTAGATAGAAATCGGGATCAGATCGAGGCTGTTTACGGCTGCGGTTTGGGAGCAGTTTTTTTTTTTTTTTTTTTTTTTTTTTTTTTTTTTGCGTTTTTTGGTCGGGGATTTTGAATCGAGCATCGAGGGTCCATGCGTGTGGGTGTTCTTGGCTTTTCTCGGTCCAGTGGGTGTTCCTCGGCCGTTGTCGTTCCAGAGTCTCATCCCTTCCGCATGTGCGCGCTGTTTCTTCCACGTGCCCGTATCTACGATCTGCGTGTCCCATCTTGGCCCAGCTTTCGGAGGCTGCCAGAAGTGCCCTTGGCCCATGCCTCCAGGATTTCCAAGGTCCCCCCATGGCCTCGAGAGCACCCCGCATGAAGCCCAGAGGGCCCCAGGGGCTCCGAAATTGTGCGAAAGGCTGGGGGCACATCGGGCCAGGGGCACCGTTAGCCCCCCCGAATCTTGTTCCGAACTCACAGGACTTGGGCGCTGCCACCTCGCATGTAAGTATGGCCGGCGCGGTGCCTCCATCCATGCGAGGGGGACGCTAGGAGGGATTACCAGTCGAGAAGCCGTGGGTGTGATGTGGCGGGCGCGAGAGTGCTAGACCCCCCTTTCTCTTTTGGAGGAAGCGCTGGTCGAGAGTGTGGGAAGGGGGGGGATTGGGAACAAAAGTTTTGGCTCACCCTGAGGCTCCATCTCCCATCTGCCCCCCTCCTCACCCTCCTCTTCTCCCTTCGTTTTCCATCATTGGTTTCCGCTCGACTCTCGAGCTGTGTGCCGCGGATTTCAACGGGAAGGACCTCCAACTCAGGTCGCTTGGAGCCCGCGTCGCTGGCTCGAGCGACTCTCCATTTTGATCACCTGCAGTAGCGGCTTCGGCCACGATCGCCAGTGCTGCTGCTCGCACGCTCAGCCCTGTGGCGATGCCGCGCGTCACGTGCCGCAGGGTGGCAGAACATGGTCGGTCCTGAGACGTATGTTTCTGAGGGGAACGTTTCCGAGTCGCCTCGCCTGGGGCGCACTGGCTGGCGGGAGCCTGGGCGTGAGGGCCAGGCGTCCTACCCGTGGCACACCCAGTCCGCCTTCAAGGCCGTCCAAGCACCGCCCTTGCGCTTCCAGAGCTGCAGATTATCATCGGCACCATCACCGCCGTCACCAAGGCCACGCCTCGTCCGCGCAGCGTCGGCATCATCATCGGGCGGCGGGATCCACACATATCCAGGTCCACTGGGCCAGGCCTGTCCTGGGCCCCCGGGGCGGTGCATACGCCTTGCTGGCCAAGCCAGGCAGGCGCATGCACCGCTCCTGGATGCGCCTGGACAGAGGCAGTGGACGTGTCCAGATCTCGTCGCCCCACATCACCGCCATCATCGGCATCGCCACCGCCACCGCCCTCTGGTCGCCCCACCGCGAAGGCCCCGCCGCAGCTGGGTCAGACCCCTCTCGGGGCACTGCCTGGCGCCGCGCTGGGATGCCTCCCAAG